GAATGGAGGGAAGGATTTTAGGTTATGTCGTATAAGTTAAAGGAAATAAAAGTCCGCGAAGTGGAAAGGATTACCACAAGCGATGCTTGGGGTGGTCACAGTGGACAAATTTCGAGGGCGAAATTTCTATAAGTGGGGAGGAAATGTGATACTTCGACTGCGATTTAAGGGCCAACAACGAGTGCTGAAGGAGCTGGACCAACATAGTGAATCGATAATTTTATTCCATCACCAGATGGGGGAATTAAAAAGGGACAAGTAGCCACTCGATGCTAATGAGCTTGTTGAGAATACCTTTTATGGTCAAGAGGAAATAACTTGAGGTGAGGTAAACTATACGGGACAAGCAACGGACACCATCAAGGTTCATATAGCGAGAGTAAATTTTTGAGGCAAGGAAGTACAAGAATGGTGTTAAAGGAGAGATGAGTTTCGAACAAATTTCGGGGATGAAATTTTTATAAGGGTGGAGGAAATGTAACACCCCGACCTTTGGGTTTCGGTTCGACCATAATACGTGAACGGTGGGTTTAAAGATTATGTGCGAAGAGTTGCAACCGGGGATTAGGAATAATAATAATAATAATAAATAATAATAATATATAAAAAAACCCCAATCCAAACCCTAATCTTCTCGGGAGGAAGGTGCCGCCTCAATGCCTTTCTTTTTCTTTCCAAGTTTCTTTTGCTTGCTGTGCTGTTTGGCTGGACTGGTGATCCGAACAGACACATAGATTACTATGGTTTCTTAGGAAATGAGACATGGAGGAAAACTCAAACTCACTGATGATGGTGATGACGCGAGAGGAGTAGTACTTACCTGACAGTCATCATTAAATCAGGAGAGGATTACACCACCTTTTTTCTGGACGATGGTGGGCGGACAGGCGATTCCTCTCGGGAATCAGGAAATCAAGGCAAAAGCGGGGGGTTTAGTTATTGCTATGCTGATGGCTGAGGCGAAGATGCGCTGTCCATTCGTCCGAGAGCTGCTTGCAAAGCGATGGAAGCCCTCCCTACTACGAGAGCTGCTAGCTTAAGCAAGCTCGTCAAGCCTTGGATCTGTACTTGCAAAGTGACGGACAGCCCTCCCTGCTACGAGAGCTGCTAGCTTAAGCAAGCTCGTGCACTGTTATTACTACCGAAACTAGCTCGTCCATTGTCACTGCCATCCCCACCGAAGCAAGCTGGTCCATTCTTAGGCATGCTGCTCCATTTTATTCAAGCAAGTAGGAGTGTACTATTATTTTTGGAAGTGGGTACGAAATCATTGGAGAAAAATCAGAGCCAGTTCCGACAGAAGTAAGGTGAGTGTAAAGGGGGTAAATTCTACGCCTTACGTGTTCTTTCAAGAGTTACCAGTCTTGAGTATTTTGATGAAGTGAATGTCGTTGTTTGATTGTGCTTATGGTTGATGATATGTGATTTTGTTTGAGCTCTGCTTGATGTTAATGTGTATGAGTTCTTATTTTAATTTAAGCTTTAAGTTCATGAGTTATTGTTGAAGTTAAGAAACAAGTTCTTTTTAAGAAGTACTTCACCTTCAAGAAGGTGAAGTCGTTTTAAGTGTTTTTAGTCACTAGCGCCAGTCCGTTGCCTTTGAGACATTTTGAGATAGAGCAGCAGTTATGCTCTTGAGACTTTTAAGATGGGCAGCAGTTATGCCCTTGAGAATCGTGGTGAAGAGCCACCACGATAAGTTTAAGATGTTAGGGGGATGAATCGTTACGACTTCCCTAACTAAGTTTAAGTTTAAGGAAAGCCTAGATGGCTTCTCATACGTATGAGTTGGCAACCAGACTAGCTAGTGGGGGATCCCAGTGTCAGTCAATTATTTAAGTCAAGCTTTGAGATTTAAGAATGGAGTAACAGTAACTCCCATACAGTTTTAAGAGTTAAGCTTTTTAATAGTTGAAGTACCAAACAACTTCCACTCAGTTAAGTAAAGTGATCAAGTATTATTAAGATGTTAAGCGTAAGGGCGTAGACTGACCCCATCTCACTCACCAGTTTGAAGAGGACTAAGAGGAGTTAGAGAGCAGCGAGTTCGAGAAGAGCAGTTCGAGGGCAGCCAGCTAGAGGAGGAAAGTACAAGCGCAACTGAGGATGTTTGGTCAAGGCTTTCAGGAAGCAGTAGCATTAGAGACTTTTTAGTTGTTTCAGTTTATGATTATGAGTATAGGCTGGAGATCATTTTGAGATTTTAAGGTTTTAATTTGTCCAAGTGTCAAGCTTTGTGTTTAAGTAATGACAGTTGTTTTTGGTATTTAGTAAGTTATTTATGAAATGTTTCCGCTATTTTTCTAAGTATTTTCAGTTCTTATTCTATTTCACGGTTTATTGAGGGTATTTTGGTAAAATTAGTACCCGGCCGGGTTAGGGTGTTTCACTTTCTCTCCATGCCCCTTTTTCCTTTCTTCGGGTTTGATACCCTCCTCTTTTTCCTGCTTCACATCAACACAAGGAACACAAGTAATAGTGGGTTTCTCCTTGAGAGGCTCGCCTCCACTTGCAATCATACCATTCGAGTCCATTTTCTTTACATCATCATTCTTAGCCATAGGATCAATTAAGAGAGTAAGCTGCTCCTCTCCATCTCTCAAAATTAGTGTTCCCTCGGTAACATCGATTAAGGCCTTATCGGTGGCAAGGAAGGGGCATCCTAGAATGAGCGGCATATTTGCATCTTCACTTATACCAAGGATAACAAAAACTGCCGAATAGTAAAAATTGCCAATTCTTACTAGGACATCCTCCACAATACCTCTAGGACTAATGACAGAGCGATCGACCAATGTGATACTAAGCCTAATAGTCTTTAGCTCACCTAGATGCAACTTCATAAAAAGCTTGTAAGGCATCACATTAATGCTGGCACCTAAGTCCGCCAAGGAATTTTCTATATGATGTGTTCCGATGCAAAGTGGTATAGTGAAACTACTTGGGTCTTGTTGCTTCTTAGGAAACTTGTTGAAAATAAAGCCGGAGGAAGCAATGAACATTTCTTATACATAGATGATATGTTCTTCAAACCTTGCTCTATCACCTGTTCCATTCTTATACATAGAGGATATATCATGACTTAATCCAAAGCAGGCAAAATTTGAGGCCTACTCTAGAAGAATTAGTAAATGTTGAAATCTTATGTGTTGGAGATTAAAAATCATCAATCATGGAGTCAAGAAAAACTTGACTAAAAAGATAAATTCAAAAAAAGATTCATTGTGCTGCCCGTGTAGAAAATATAATATTGTATCAAATTAATCATGAATCATATTATATCACATATGTATGCAAAAAATAATAATAGACCTTTGCATTATTTGGAATAATGACATTATATATTCTTGATTTTTAGTGAATTCTCGCTAATATTTTTTAATGGAAATAACGTGAATGTTTATCCCTTATTTTAAAATGAATAAATCATCATGATAGTATGCATTATATTAGAAATATAAAGTTAAGATAAATAATCAAAATTACTAGCAAGAAGTGTATAGAGAAATCAAAACATTTATATTCTTTTATTTTTTAGCATATTACTAAGACGAAAAATATTTAAATTTCTCAATATTAATATTATACAACAATTTAATTGTTAAATTTTTTATTTTATCCGGCCAACGGGCCGGACCCTAGTTTAGTTGACTGTCATATTGGATAGCTTTACGAGAATGAATATGGACTATCAGGTGATGACAAAGTATAAAAGTAATAAAGGGTAAATTGCAAGGTTGGTCACTGAGATTTCTAAAAACGTTCATGTTTGGTCACTGTAAATATTTAATTCCATTAATGGTCATTGAGATTACTTAAACCGTTCAAGTTTGGTCACTCTCCGTTAACTTCCGTTAGTCTCCTTTAACGGTGTCAGTTTTTCGCTGACGTGGCTAACAGAAATATCCAGTCACCTAATTCTAAATTAAAAAAACTCAAAACCGACCCGCCACGTCATTAAACCCGCCACATAAGATACTCAAACCCAACTAACCCATAATCTTCTTCCTATTGAAAAAAATCCTAATTCCCAAATTCTCATATCCCCTTCCACCTCTGTCATCCTTCTCCTCGTATTCTGTAGTGAACGCGTTGATGAGGATGTACGTGAGGGACGCTAAGGTGAGGGCAAAGAAAACGACCGACCTGCCAGGCTCGGAGTGGGGTTCCAGCAGATGTGGTCCTTCCGACCCCTTCGATTGCGTTGCGGCAGGCGCTGTAAAGCGTGGAATACGAGCGAGAACACGCGACTTTCATTTTGAAGGGCGTTAAGAAAGGATTCCGGCCGATGGAGGATGTGTGGGTTGGAAGGAATTGATTCTGCAATTTTTTGTCAGAGGAGTAGAAGAGAAGAAGAAAAGATGAAAGGGGGAGGAGTAAAGGTTGGAAATCCAACGAGGGAAGTGCGACCGGCAGAGGTTGGGAAGACGGCTAGGGAAGTGTGGCAATTAAGCTCCAGGATGGAAGGACTGTGACAACCAGAGGAGGGGTGGAGAGAGAAGAGGTAGATATTTTCTTAGGCTGGGTTGGTCAAGAAGGGTTGGGTTATGGGTTGGGTGGATTATCTTATGTGGTTTGTTTCAATGACGTGGCGGGTCAATATAGGCTGATTAGGCTTTTTTGTTAGCCACACCAGCAAAAAACTGACGTTGTTAACGGAGACTAACGAAAGTTAACGGAGAGTGACCAAAGCTGAACGGTTTAAGTAATCTCAATGACCACTGATAGAATTAAATATTTCCAGTGACCAAACATGAACGTTTTCAATAATCTTAGTGACCATCCGTGCAATTTACCCAAGTAATAAATAAGAAAATTGTTTTCTGTGCTAATGCTAAACATGAAACATAGTGATAAATGGAATCACACCAAACATGCAATTCACCAGAATAATGAAAAGGACTAAAACAGATGGCCACGGCCCTCGTTTGAGTTAGGCCCAATCAAGGCGGCCTCTATAACAGAAAAAGGCCCAAGTCGCAAAAGCTCTATCTCGTGCAGCTGTAGGGTTTATGGCTATGCTGTGGCTTTCACTCGTCAGTCCACCGCGAACACGAGGCGAGGGTTAGTTCTCTCTACTATCTGCGCTTTTTCATTGACGTCCTAATTTAAACCTCACAAAGTTTCCGACTTAAAGTAAGTGATCCGACGGACTCTAAAGCAATGGGAAATTTTCGATTAGTTTCACGGAAGTTGTGGCGGATCCGGAGAACCCTCGATCAAAGCCCTGCTTTCTCTTTGCAATCTAATCTCCGCGGCGCAACAGTTGCTCGCCATTTCGGGTCAGCAGCAGAGCAATCAGCCCCGGCGGCGCCGTCGGAAAGGTTATCGGGCATCGTGGACGAACTCTCGGGTTTAACTCTTCTGGAAATCTCGGACCTAACGGAGGTTTTGCGGAACAAGTTGGATATGAAAGAGATGCCGGCGATGGCCATGATGATGCCAGGGATGGGGTTCAGTGGCATGCCGGGAGCTGGAAGGGGAGCCGGCGGTGCTGCGGCTGCAGGAAAAGGGGAGGAGAAAGCGGAGAAGACGGTGTTTGATGTGAAGTTAGATGGCTACGAGGCGGCGGCCAAGATCAAGGTGATTAAGGAAGTGAGAGGGTTTACTAATCTGGGTCTGAAGGAAGCCAAGGACTTGGTGGAGAAATCTCCTACGTTGTTGAAGAAAGGGGTGACGAAAGAGGAAGCTGAGAAGATCATTGCCAAAATGAAGGAAGTTGGGGCCAAAGTTAGCATGGAGTGAGCAATGTGAGTTCTCTTCGTCTTTCCAGAACTTGATTACTTTGAACAAGATTCGCAGCGGAACTTGTACTTGAACACTTGCATGCATATACGTTGTTAGTTCTTTTTGATGAATGCCTATTTAGCCCTCCCAGGCAGCTGTGTTCATGAGGGGGAATCTTATCTTATACATAGTCATAGATGAATGCCTTTGCAAAACGTAAAGAAATAGTCTGGACCTGGACGAATGTGGTTGATTCCTACTCGTCTGTGTTTCGGATTTGAAGTCATATGTTGCTCAATCCTTTAGAAGTTGCTTTCTCTAAAATTGCAATAATTTGTTAAAGCAAATATGCAAGGTAGTGATAAGAATGAATTGCGAGCATAAAGAATGAGACTAGATATTAGAAAGACTAGTGAATTTTGCAACTGATGCTAGATTCTGTCATGGTATCGATGTATTTGTGTTTTCCCTTTTTCCATGTTTTAAGTTGCATATGAATGCCAGTCTGGTTGTTAAGTAATTGGCACGCTTGAGAAGAAGAAGATAGGAGGGAAGGGCGGGATTTATTTTGTTTTGTTTTGGTGAGCTTTGAGGAAGGTTGGTAAGATATGGTGTGTGTACATTGTTTGGCTTGGTCAAGAATCCATGTAGTAGTATGTTCGTTGAGAAAGATTATTGTGTTGGGGGAAATGACAACCTCTTTACATTTTGTTTAAGCTTCTCATTTCTGAATGTAGGAACTGCTGTAGTAAGAACAACGACAACCCACTAATGCATTTTTTCATGTTCAGACATCCATTGATGGCACAAGTTCAGCTAAAAAAACAGGGTACAGCAGTTGAATTGCAGGTCATGTGGGAAGAGACCGATGCATTGAGCTGTACTTTCTGGCTGGGACAATATCTGAAGTTTAGAATTTCCTTGATAATACCAGAAGAAACTTCTTCTATGACAAGGAACTTGCTCATATGCTCTTTGAGTTGGAAGAAGCAAGTCTTGGACAGACTACCTGTTTTCTGTTAACTTGTTTTGAAACTCGGGCGATGGATACCGAGTGATGCCCGTTGTTGCAGAATTTGGGTTTCAATCCATGGAATTGGGTTTGGGTCAAGTAAACCAAATTCGATTGTAACTCTCTCTGCAGTTTTGCAGTATCGAAATTGCACTCTCCTCTTTTGGATCGCTCTCTCACATGTACATGCTTTTGATTCTCCATCAATCCAAATGCTTTATTCATATAAGCCCACATACCGAAGACAAAAAATTATGATCGATTGCCGCATACCTGACTAATTCTAATTCAGTGTCACTACTAAGTCTTTTGGTGTTTATTTATTCCGTGAAGTCTAATTCACTTTGAACTATGAGTGATTGATGAGGTAACAGAGATCTCCCAATCTGACATTGCCACAAATTCTCAACCATCTCGATGCCCATAGGCCATAATTGAGGTCCGAGCAAGGTTGTCAATCCGCGGGTTGACCCAGACCCGGTTGAGCTAGTGGGTCAAGGGTTAATGGGTCAACCGCTTTAGCCCAGTTTGGCCCGAAAATATAGAAAAAGTCATTATATTGTACTTATCCTCATAAATTATATCAAATCTTATCTAGCATATGACTTATAACCAAGGTTGTCAAACCGGTTTATGCCGATACGCCGGTTTTGTAAGTGGAATGGTTCTACCGTGGTAGAACCAGTTAATGCGCCGGTTTATGCCGGTTTTAATAAAATTTCAGAATAGAAATATAAATAACTTATTTTAAAACAATATCTCTAAAATCTACATTGAAAAATATAAAAAAATAGATACCTTCTAAAAGCATTAAATTACCCCTAAGAAAAAGAACCAATCTGAATTCCTCCATCTCAATTAAACCTCTGATTCTTCCCTTCCCCTATGTTCAGAAACCAGTAAAGGACGGAGACTAGAGAAAGCCTTGGGCAATCTCCATTAATAATCACCATTAACAATCCGAAACCATCATCCCATTATTCCATTGAAAATCTTCATTATTAAACCATTAACCCCCCGTTAAACCGGACTTCAAATCAATTTTCTCCATCATTCAACCCAATAACAATCTCCCAATACCAGAACCCCAAACATGAGAAAGAAGCTCACCTGCACCTCGTGCCTGCCTTGCAGAGCCTCTCTCGCCGCGCCGCCGAGGATTTGTGTGTTGTTCTAGGGTTGCCGCCAGGAAAAAGACAAGGCAGAGAGAAGAATTTGGTGGACTGGATTGTTGGTGAATGAACGAGGTGTGCGAGCAGGTCGGTCGAAACCATTCCAATTCCAAAATTTTTACAATCCAAATAAGAACAACAGCGTTTACCTTAAGAGACCGGAATGCTAAATACCGGTTGGACCACTGAAATTTCCGGTTTTGACCGGCTTTGACCGGTATTGACTCCAGCCGGTTTCATGACCGGTACCGGTTGGACCTGGTTCAACCGGCCGGCATGCCACCGGCATGACAACCATGCTTATAACATATAATATTACTCCAAAATAACATATCGTACTTAGATCCAACATATAGTGAAAATTCACACACTTATATAACATAAATATTCAAATGTTCAACTTAGGATTCCAAAGATTGAGTTATGCGAAAAGAAAAATCGGAAAATAGGCGCATTTCGCAAACCAAAGAAAAAAATTACACAATTTGACCTCCAACCCGATACCTTGTAGCGGTCGGCCCGGCCGGTGCGTATGGCCCGTTTTTCTCACCGGGTCAGGGTCAAAGTGGGTCGACCCGCGGGTTGACAACCTTGGTCCAAGAGTCGATGCTAAAGCTTGATTTTCAAGGAAAAAACTGTGTCTGTTCATTAAAAAACAATTCTGTCAAAATTGTGTTTTAAAACTTAAATGTTTACGCTTTTATATTTCTATATGTTAGCAAAATGTTTCTATGCAGGATCACGTTTTTTTAATTACAAGCAATGCAATCAAAGTCTAATTTCTATTTAAAAGCCAAATGATAAAAGCAAATGATAGGAATTTTCTAACCATAAATTAAAGGTTTTAAAATAGAAACAAATAAGTAAAATAAATCATATATTAATAATTACTCTCACACACAAACTAAATTACTAGACTTTTAAACAAACATTCATTGTCTTCCTCCTACTTTTGGGGGATAATATAAGAAGATGAACAATTGACAAATGATAAAGCCATAAAAGTCGTAAACAAGCTTCCCTAATAAGTGAAAGTGGCGGCAAATGCAACCTGAAAGAGATAAGCTTCAACAACGGCATAGTAACAGGAGTGGAGGTAGCAGGGATTAGGGGTGTACAACGGGGAACGGGTATTTGGGTACACCCATATCCGTCCCGTATTTTAGGGTTACGAGTACCCAATAATTCTTTTACGGGACGAGACTTGGAATCAAAAAGTTTTACAATGAGTACCCACGAATTATCCGTTTGGGTATGACGGGTAACCGTACTACCCGCTTAGATACCATAATTGATCCACCTCACGAGCAAGTTCTAGAGCTTAGTTTGTGCAATAGGCTGGGTAAGGCCGCCATGTTCGACATAGACTCTTCCTCTTTTAACTGTGACATGCTTGCTTCACTCCACCATAATGAGCATAGAAATTGCAATGAGCAATCAGAGGATGAAATTACCAAAGCAATTGAGGTATGTCTTCTACTCTTCTTTGCCTTATTCAACCAGCCTGAAAAGCAGTGATGTGTTTCCAAGCTCATCAGGTTGTGCCCTTCAATATGAGTCGATTGTCAATGCTTATATTCATTCGCAGTTAACAGATACTGCTATGTTCTATTTCCATCAAATCGTTCAGAGAGGCCTTCCTGGAGCCATGACATTCAATAATCTGTTGGGTTGTCTTGTTAAGTCAAGCTGTCAAAATTAGATATTGGTTAATTGCGGGTACCCGTTATTCATCTTGTACGGGTAATGGGTACTCGTTAACCCGTACGGGTTTGGAACAAGTGATGAAGTTTTCTCTTCAAATTGAATTGGATTCCCATTTCAAACGAGACGGATATCCAAACCCGTCCCGTCTCGTTGTCCACCCCTAGAAGGGATGAGAAAGGACGTTGAAGGCAGAAAAAGACGAGAATGAGGGAGAAGTGACAATGAATTAGGGATGAGGAATTCGTTGAACGAAAGACTGAAATAATAAAGTGACTAAAAAAAAATAAATATGCGTCATTTTTTCTCTTTTGGTGTGCAACACAGGAGCAGATTAGGGGAAAAACCTTGTGGTCAATAACCCCTTTGTAACCTACCACATCAGCGCCAGATCACCATATTGTTGGAAATAAAATTTATTTATTTCCTTAAGCTTTGTGGGCACGTTTTGTAGGTAGGAATGTTTGGCAAACTTGGGCTTATTGGAAGAAATGGAATTGGATTGGTGGGCTTATATTAGTGGAGACGGGCTCGTTTATGATTGAGAAGAATGGGAGAGGGTTTTTTTTTTTTTATTGTTTTGAGAAAGGAATTGGCAGAGAGGAATGAGACAAGTGACTTCTTCTTATTACTTTGCTTCTTTCTTTTCTTTTTGTTCTACTTTTGGCTCTTACACAACTACACACAAGCCTATTTATAGGCTCTTTCAACTAAAAAATCTGCACCCAACCGACTTAGAGTTGTGGCTCTCCTTTTTCTTATTTTGTTTATGTCACAACTAACAACTAACTTATTTAATGTTTGTTCTACACAAATTCATACGCACTCTAGCTGCTCTCGTCCCTTCCAGCTAGTTATGATATTTTGATGGTTTATTTTAATTAAACTTTATTTTTAATTTCAACACTCCTCCTTAAAGTTTAATTAGTAGTAACTCCGAGTAGCGTCCTCAGTTTGACGAACACATCTTGCTTCAGCGGCTTCGTGAAAATATTAGCAATCTGGTCTTCAATTTTCACATATTTCAGCGTCACCTATTTCTGCTCCACGCATTCTCTCAAGAAATGATATCTTGTATCAATATGCTTACTGCGATCATGAAACACCGAATTCTTTGCTAGCGCCAGGGCGGACTTGTTATCCACAAATATTTCACTAGTCTCTTCTTGTGTTATATTCAACTCCTTCAGCAACTTTCTCAGCCATATTGCATGACACGCACACGATGTCGCAGCAACATACTCAGCTTCACAAGTAGATAGAGTCACTATAGCTTGCTTCTTTGAACTCCATGTGAAAACTGTGTCTCCAAGAAAAAACCCAAATCTGGTAGTGCTCTTGCGATCATCCACATCTCCTGCCCAATCACTATCGCAGTATCCAACCAATTTGAAATTTTCTGACTTAGCATAAAGTAGACCATAATCGATTGTACCTTTAATGTAGCGCAGTATCCTCTTTGCAGCATTCCAGTGTGACATAGTTGGTGCCTCCATGTATATACTGACTAAGCCAACTGCGTAGAGAATATCTGGTCTGGTACAAGTCAGATATCTCAGACTTCCCACGAGACTTCTAAACTCCGTTGAGTTGACCTTCTCTCCTTTATCCTCCTTGGATAACTTTACTCCGCACTCGACTGGTGTGCTCACCGGATTACAATTCTCCATCTTAAACTTCTTCAAGACCTCTTTGGCAAAACCACTCTGTGAGATGAAAATTCCTTCCTCCTTTTGACTTACTTTAATTCCGAGATAGTATGACATTAGTCCAATGTCTGTCATCTCGAACTCACGAATCATCATCTTCTTGAAATCTTCAAACATCTTAGGATCGTTGCATGTGAAGACGAGATCGTCTACATATAGGCAAACCATCAAGATTGCTCCCCCTTGCACCTTGCAGATATGCATGCTCATGTGGGCATTTGCTGAACCCATTCTGCTGAAAATACTTGTCAATCCTGCTATTCCAAGCTCTATGTGCTTGTTTCAGACCAGACAATGCTTTCTTCAGCTTCAACACCTTATCTTCTTGACCTTTAATGATATATCCAGGAGGTTTCTCAACATAGATATCTTCCCGAGATGTCCATTTAGAAAAGCTGACTTCACATCCATCTGATGTATCTTCCATCCATTTTGAGCTGCGAGAGATATCACTATCCTGATACTCTCCGTTCTCGCCACGGGAGCAAATACTTCATTGTAGTCAATGCCTGGTCTCTGACTATATCCTTTAGCCACCAATCTTGCTTTGTGCCTGACGACTTCTCCTTTTGTATTCTTCTTCGCTTTAAATACCCACTTCACACCGATGGTCTTCTGGTTCTCAGGGAGTGACACAAGTTCTCAAGTTTTATTCTTCTCAATTGCTCCAATTTCTTCATC